TTCTAGAAATTACATGCTGCCAGTTCTCTTCCTGGTCACGTACTGCCCTCTCTGGTTCCACCACCTGCTATGCTTGAAGGATTAAACGCTGCCTTCTATCAATGAAGTCTTCATCCTCTGATCAAGAGTAGGGTCGACACTTAGGCCTCCAGTCCTCTAATTTTTTCTTCCAAAATGTCAACCAGCTTGCACTTAAAACAGATTTCATCTGCACTTTCTTCCGGGAGGAAGACAAACATGGCACACGCTGTGCAGGTAACAACAGCAAACCTATCACCATCCATCGCTGCTGTCCTGTTCGCAAGCTCCTTGGTCGCCTGCCCACTGGACAACTGTAGTTTTATATATTTTAACCACAGTTTTTTCCCCTCCGGAAGGTGGGTGAGGGGGGGCACAAGGGACAAAGTAGGAAAGTTGCTTGCCAGAGATGAGAAGAATCAGAATAAGGTAACAGAGCAGGGTTCAATTGTTTGAAAGTCAGAACAAGAAATAATGGATAAGAATCTTAGCTGCATGGGCAGAGAGATCAGATTTTGGAAATGCTGTTTATCACTTGACCACAAGATGTAAATACTCTAGATGCTGTTAGAGTTGTTCTATTAGAATCGCATCACTAATATTCACCTGGGAGAAAGATGGGTTTGGAACAGGAAGACAACTAGAGAGTTCAACATCAAGAGAATCTTAATCAAAGGTTTAATAATTGCTTCTTTAAAAGACCTAGTATACAGACTTCTTAACGAGAGCCCTGATGGTAAGTATTGTCTACACTGAAAACGAAGGCATAACTCTAGCGTAAGAAAGCATAATCCTGCTAGCTTTAACCTGGCTAATGCTGGCAACCAGAGACTAATGAAAATATGGCATCATGGACGTCAGTACGGGTTAGCAGCAGCATTTCCTGTAAGCTGTGCGGTTGTACAGCTGCTCAGAAGAGATTCAAATGCCCCCCCAGCTGATTAGCCGAGCACCAGCAGCTAGGTATTGTGTTTCTCCTGGTAGTGTACATTTGTGCATGCCTTGGTACACATAACAAAACACTTATCCTGCACATGGATGGAAAAAGACTACAAGGAACATTGATCAGCAACAGTGGCACCAATATTACCTCAATCTTTACTAACTGAACAGTCATGGGTTTAATGCCACAGACTGCCCACTGCTGCCTGAAAACCATCACTTGTCACAACACTCCAACCAAGATGTTAGTATCTTCCTCCTCTTTTTTAAATAAAGAAAGACACCCCAAAAATACATTAAGTGGCTTTAAAATAATCTGGCTGCAAGTCTGGTAAATGCATGTATAGTTTCTTGAACATCTCCAAGGAGAATAATGATTCTGAATATTATTTTCCCAGTGAAAAAAACCGGATTAGCTACTGGTTTTTGACCAACTAAGAGAAAAATGCATCTCATAAGAGTTATTTAAATGAAAAGTATAAAACCAGTGTGTAACTCACATCCTTGAGTTTACAATAGCCTCTTTATTCTTTGGAAGGTGTTTTTATATCCTTGGATTGTTCTCACAAAAGCAAAGAGGTCAGCAATTGCAACCCAACCAAAAGAGGTCTTTTGTAAATTTGAATGTGATCTTTTTCTGTTTAGCTTTCTGAGTGTGTGTGGTGATCAATCTTTAAATCAACAGTAAACTCAGCCATTCACCTGTACTAAATAGATACACAACATGAAAGTAAAAATTCTACCTATTACCTAATGAAGTTTGACAAATCACTTCCTTTTCTCTCTTCCTTTGAAGAGATGACTCAAGACTTGCTTATCCAATAACTGATTGCTTAACTTGTCTCCCTAATAGACAGATGTTTCATTCGCAATTTCCTGTCAGGTTTCATAAACTGATGTAAACACGATCAATCCAGTTTGGGGCAGGGGGAACAAATTTGCATAACTGTTCAAATCACAGATAATTAATATCAAACAGATTTAAAGAAAAAAGTGCTCAGGAAAAAGTTATTCTTCCCATTAATAAAATATAAAATATTTGGTCACAGTTTTCCTTATGAACCCATGTATCAGTTCTTCTGATTGTTGAATTTGTATTTCCAATTACATAACGGCAAAAGTCCTTCTTTGACCCTTGGATAATACATATAACTTGTATTCTTTAGTACCTACATTTCTGAATAGGCACTTAACACACCACACACTAAATATCCCCCCTCCCCCAGGCAATCTTTCTGATAAATGCCATTTTCTTAGTATCTCTGCCCTGTCTTTTGCACTGCATGCAAGTGGGTGTCCCAGCTTAGTAGTGGTTTTGAGATAAATAAAATATAAAATATTTGTCCCAAATGAAGCAGTAAACATTAGAATGAGAGCATCTCACTTTGGAGTGAGATACATAAGTTGTATCCATCTCAATACAGTATGTAAAATATGCTCAAAATATAAGGCATCTGTGGTCATTAAATAATAGCTCTTGCTCTGTTAACCTCAGTATTCATGCCAGAAATGTAGCCAGAGACTCAAGAAGGATGAAGTAAGATCTTACTGGATCAACTTCTGTTAGTGAGAGCAGCTTTCGAGCCACACTGGGCTTCTTCTGGGAAAGGTACTTCCAGTACCACAGAAAAAGCAAGGTGGAACAGATGGTTTAGCATAAGGCAGGTACATAAACTGCAAGGTCCCAGGGACATTCCTATGGTGGTGTGGGACTCAGGACAACCCCCCTCCCTTCCAAGCCCCCCCCCCCACACACACACACTCTGCCTTCCCTCCCTCCCAACCATTTCACTAAGTCCCCACCATGCCCCTTTCTGGCTTCCACCCCCATCCCCAAGCAACACCAGGAGCCAGGGGAGCAGAACGGGGCAGGGTGGGACCTAGTCATTCACTGCTACCAGCACCAGGATCACCCGCTAGCCTCTGAGTCCTCCATGGATCTTACATCCCTCTGAAGCACAGTACCTCGGGTAGTTGCCCTGGTCTGTCCTATGGATAGGTTGGCTCAGAAGAGACCATTCATGGTTGAGTGGTGTATTGGCTTCTTCCTGCCTGCCTTTCCCCAATCTAGGGATGTTAAATTTAGTTTAACAAACTAGTCAATGGATTTTCCATAGATTAGTCGATTAGTGGGGGAGCTATAGCAGGGTTAGTTCCCGGCCCCAGGAGCTAACCCTGCCGTGGCGCTGCCTTTTAAATGTATTAAGAGTTAGCAGGCTCTTAATACATTTAAAGAGGCTGGAGCACAGCAGGGGGACCTGGTATGAGTTGGGAATCAGCGGTCTCAACTCACACTGGGTTCCCCCCCTCCCCCCGCTGCCCTTCTGATGCGCAGCAACTGGGACTGGGCATGAGCCAGAACCAGCTGATTCCTGGCTTGTGCCCAGTCCCCACTACCTCCCTGCCTAACACGGAGACAGAAGCTGGTTCCTCCCCAGCACTAAGCCAGCTCCCCCCAGCACTGACTCCTGCCTACCCCCATTGCAGCCTTTGACAGGGGCGGGGGGAGGAGGGAGGAGCTTATTGGGTAGTCGACTAGTCGCTTACATTCCTACCCCAACCCTCACACCACTGATAGACGTAGCATACAGGGATGGGGGTGGGGGTGGGGGTGGACGAGAGACATGAAGAGCAAGCTGATTTCTGCACATACCAGGAGTCTGCATATAGCCCAGACTAATTTTTTTAAACCATACATGGTTACATCTGCACATCCCTATTACAGACTGTTATAAGCAGCCATAAATTTCATCTGTTCAGTCCATGAATTTTAATTTCTAGGAGAATAATGAATTTAAGCTCCCAGGCTTGTCTTTGGAAAGTGTTGGTGGTTTCCTTTGAGGATGAGAACTTATTGATCTGATATAGAACGATCACTTGGTGAACAGTGGTCACCCTAAGGGGTGAGTGTGCGTCTTAGCTTCCTGTGACGATTCATTTGAGAGTTTAGTGATGGCCTGGGTTCTCGCACACAGTTATTACTGGGACATTTACTGCATGGGATAAAATAGACATGTTGTAGGGATGTATAGGATCCGTAGATCTTGGAAGGTGTGTTGTGTTAACACCTCCTCGCCTGCCCCCCTCTATCCCCAATCTGACAGAAAGGGACCTGGACATAATTTTGGCTTTCTAACTTTCTCCCCCATTGTCAATCAAAATACAAAATATTTCAGCTGTACGAGAAAAATACACTATGTCCACAAGACGAACACTGGTCTGAAAACTATTAAGCTGAGTCAAGGCACATTTATGGACAAAGATATTGCAGAGCCACTTAATTGTTGAGGAATGTGCTTGTAAAGTGTGGCACACTCTTAAAAAGATGATCTGTAGAATTTTTTAAAATGCTGCACTTTTTGCTTTCCAAAGATCTTTCTATTCAACTCTGAGTAGTTTATTAAAATAAAGTTTAAATACTTTCACTATTGTTTCATATCAATGCATGGTGTGACCCAAGTGTGAAAACTGCCAGCTAATTGCAGATTTTTAGAATCTTCATGAGCAGCAATTATGTATGAATCGGAAATATCAATGCACCAGCAGTAGGAGCTTCTATTTAGGAAATATTTAGAAAATTCTTGTTTTGATTTAAGAAAATTTGAGGGACAAACACAGAATCACATCTGACCACCACTTACCAAAATGTGTTAAATTGTGTTGAGCTCTAAAATCTCTTCTTGATGTGATGGCATCTCAGAACAAGACAGATATGCTTAAATGGCTATTTGCATAATTTGTTTTCAAAACAAAAAAGTTATCTCCCAGGAAAAGTTTCATAAGCAAAGCCCTACATAAAACTGTTTGACACCTTAAGTCCCTAAAAGTGGGTTCATGCATTCAACACTGACATTACCCATATTAGCACTATTGTAATGTACATGTAAAATATCTCCTGAGCAAAAGTGAAGATATTATTTTCAAATCTAATAAAATCATTTCAGTTTCTACAGGTGAAGAGCTAGACTTAGTATTCCTTGAACAGTTATGTAAAATTAGTGTTGTATAAAAATTATCAGTGTGCTCTTTATTATACTTGCCTGATTATTAAAGAAGTGACAAAAAGAAATGTTGCAAAGCAGCCCCTCCGACAGTCAGCATTTTTCTTTTGTCTTTGATGCATTTCCCCACCACAGTTGTCACAGCAACGACACATACAGAAGCACAGTCCCACAAGAGGCAGTAACAGAACAAATAGCAATCCCAAAGCAGCCGCCACTATAAAGCCGATTTCATAGTAGATTGCCTGCAATTCAGATACAGTTATTTTTAACAGCACATGTTACCTAGTAGTTGAGATTCATATACAGCCACTACTTAAAAACAAAATTAAAGCTACAAGATCCACTGGTTATTGTAGTCATTGGACTAATGGTTTCTAAGCCATCAACTTATATCTAACTTTCTCTCTGAAGCAGATAAAAAACATTGTAAATGTTGCTAACTCATCAAGAAATGCGTTAAGCAATGTATTTAACAAATTTGTGATACTGACAATTTGCTCTATAATGGATTAAAAATGGGTATGCTTAAATTAGCAGGCTCACAATTTGATCTACCATTTCTCAAAGCTGTTTTAAAAACCTATTTGAGAATATCAGCCACCATAAATATACCAACATACTGTACTTTAGTAGGAAATTATTTTTGTTCCTAAAATACAGATTTCTGTTATGACTGGAAGGCCTGAATATGAATACTGAAGAAAAATAATAAATTATGAAGGACAGTAACCTGTTTCAAAGAAAAATTGAAAAATAACTGAAAAAAAAACCATCAAGAGATGGATATTAAGCTCTTTGGGGCAGAGACTTTAGCTGCATGTCATGCATATTGCTATGCTCAGTTGGCAATAAACATACAAACAGCAACTAAAGGAGAGATTTTTCAAAGACATAGAAGGCACTGCTGGGAACCCAACTCCCTTTTAATCAGTGAGGTGGAAGCTTACCTGTCCTTGGTGCTTTTATAAGATTCATGCTAAGGGGCGTAGCTAGCATAGAAAAGAACATTCTGCAGCTGGGCCATGCCAGCCAACTAAGGCTTCGGGCCTGCTCCACTGTTGTATAGATTACTGGACTCAGGCTGTAGTCCAGGTATGGACCCTTCCAGACCAGGTTCTGGACCCTTCCAAAAGAGAAGCTAACTGCAGGTTTTTCTATGTTGTGTAGACCTACTCTAAGCAGTGGTTCTCAACCTTTTTGGGCTCAGGATCTACTTGTAAGTGTTTATTGCCTGTTGTGACTCAGTGAACAGTTGGCGGTGGCTTACCTAGACCACCCGCCAACTATTTACTGAGTCAACAGGCCAGGTGGTGGGACCCCAGAATTCAGAGTCCTGGAGCAGAGAGCCCTATGAGACAGGAGCTACCAAATGACCTCTGAAACATTCTGGCAACCCAAAATTGGGTACCCTGACCCAATGATTGAGACAACCTGCCCTAAAAGGCTATTAAAGTCACTTGGAAAAGTCTATATTAACTTTAAGGGTAATATACATTACTACACTTCCTACTGTGGCTCATCCTCTGTCTCTTGTATACAAGCAGTAGCTTGGCAGAAGATGGAATACCTGTTCAGGTGTTTTCACTCAAGACAAGTCATAATTGTTCACTAGCTATCAATCCTCTTGCTTGAGTTCTAGTCATACAGATTCTGCCTCCAATCTCCCCTGTCCTTGAAAGACAAGTTGCTCCAAATGCAGTGTTAATAGTAAACCATTACCATTAACAAGGTTATAATCTTTGACCTAATTGCCAATCCTACAATAAACCCTAGGAAATCACTAAGGGCTTACAACTGATACACTTGCTTTGAGAATAAGATAATTTTGGTTGGATTTTACAAGATCAACACTCATTAAAAATTTGTTTGAAAGATTACAAATTAACTAAAAATGATCAAAAATATATTTTAGTTGATTACCTGAACAATCTGGAATGCAGCCAAATCAAAATTTGTTTAAATGAAAAGCACCACCATCTCCACTTAAAATGACACAAAAAACGATGTGTGTTTTGACAGGAGAGGTGATTAGAGTCACTACTATGTGGAGCTGTTCTCCCCCTCTCACCACCCAAAAAAGGGACACAAAACACATGTACCAGATATAATGGACGGCTTTATTACCTGAAGAGTCAGGACAACATTTTCTGGCTGTGGAAGTCAATGCAGATGGAGAATGTGTATAATGCACAGGCAGCATGCACAAAAACAAATCATATGAGTGATGAATAATTAACTATAACAGAAACAAGAAAAATAGCAAAGAAGCAAAACAAAAAGCCACTGAACTAAGAAAAATGAATAGACGCACAGAATAATTAAGTCAAATTAATTATTTAAAGAAAATATATTATGAGTAGAGGGGTGGTTTTTGTTGTTGTTTCTTAGAGCCTTGGTAAGTTAAAAGGATTCAGGAATTCTTAATCCACCATAAATAGCTTTCAGTCTTAAAGTGAAAACAGACCAGTTATTTCTCTATAGACCATTAGTTATATGTCCTGAGACATTGCAGAGAAGAGGGGAGTTAGATATTGCATTAGTTTGCAATTTCTCAAAGAATGTCAGCTGCCAGAGCTGTTCCATAATACTTCTGCATTCTGAAGATACTAATTGTTTTGGCATTACGAGAAGCAGTTCCAATAGCAGTTTTCGTGCCTTGGCACATTATACAGGGAAATTATTCATCTACAATATAAAAGCTGGAAGGAAACAAAATCTACAAGAGTGGAAAAGGGTAAAAGAAAGGTGGTGACAGAAAGCAGAAATCTCATTTAAGTTCATAAGTGCTTCTGCTTCCACATCTGCCTTTCAATAGTTTTCCTGTTTTTCTTTCAAGTCACAAAAGTTTTAAAAAAAACAATTCTTCCTTCATTTTCAGATCTTAGGCACAGATTAAACAAAGAATTTCTCAATGCTATTTGTTTTTCTGCATCTTCATATGGCAATTCATACCTAATGGGTG